TCATTTGTCCTACCACCTGGTGAAAGAGCCCGTGTCCTACAAACTGGTGAAAGAGCCCGTGTCCTACCATTGGTGAGAGAGCCCGTGTCCTACTTGTGCGAGAGCACGTGTCCTACTGGTGAGAGAGCACGTGTCCTACCACCTGGTGAGAGATCACGTGTCCTACTGGTGAGAGAGCACGTGTCCTACCACCTGGTGAGAGAGCACGTGTCCTACTGGTGAGAGAGCACGTGTCCTACTGGTGAGAGAGCACGTGTCCTACCACCTGGTGAGAGAGCACGTGTCCTACCACCTGGTGAGAGAGCCGTTGTCCTACCACCTGGTGAGATAGCCCGTGTCTTACTGGTGAGAGAGGACGTGTCCTACCACCTGTTGAGAGAGCCTGTGTCCTACCACCTGGTCAGAGACCCCGTGTCCTACCACCTGGTGAGATAGCCCGTGTCCTACTGGTGAGAGAGGACGTGTCCTACCACCTGGTGAGAGAGCCAGTGTCCTACCACCAGGTGAGAGAGCCCGTGTCCTACTGGTGAGAGAGACCGTGTCCTACCACCTGGTGAGAGAGCCTGTCCTACTGGTGAGAGAGCCCGTGTCCTACTGGTGAGAGAGCCCCTGTCCTACTGGTGAGAGAGCCCGTGTCCTACCACCTGGTGAGAGAACCCGTGTCCTACTGGTGAGAGAGCCCGTGTCCTACCACCTGTTGAGAGAGCCCGTGTCCTACTGGTGAGAGAGCCCGTGTCCTACTGGTGAGAGAGCCCGTGTCCTACCACCTGGTGAGAGAGCCTGTGTCCTACTGGTGAGAGAGCCCGTGTCCTACTGGTGAGAGAGCCCGTGTCCTACTGGTGAGAGAGCCCGTGTCCTACCACCTTGTTAGAGAGCCCGTGTCCTACAAACCTGGTGAGAGAACCCGTGTCCTACTGGTGAGAGAGCCCGTGTCCTACCACCTGATGAGAGAGCCCGTGTCCTACCTCCAGGTGAGAGAGCCCGTGTCCTACCACAAGGTACCTAGCTTGACCGTGTGAAGAGGGAATGTGCTGCTAAAGTAATTGTACGTCGGAAGGATAACAATGATGTTGCTATTGGATCCAATTTTGATTATGTAGAGCCTGTGGGAAAAGTAAAAATGTTGTGTAATGCTCAGAAGCATAATGTTGATTTCAATACACCGAGAATTATAATAAATTACTAGACTACCCGTTATCTGGTTAGATAACTGTGGGTTTCGGGGGGTCATCCATAAATGACATCACGTCTGACAGCACTTTTCATCCCAAAATAACCAGACCCCTCATTCAAAAAGACGTTTTTTATATTTTTATATTCAACTAAACTCTACTTCACCTGCCCTGTGCCCCCTGAGGTCCTGATAGTTAACCTAATAAAAAAATTCCCCCCCCCCCCCCCCAATAACAAATCTGAAAAACAAACAAACAATAAAATGAGTTATCAAACCTCATAATTCAGTCACAGTTAAGCCATTGTTCTAAAACTTTAAAATTAATGTGGTTAATCTACCTATGAATAAATCAATAAATTAATTAACGTCTTTAAATAAATGTCTGATTAACAGTCTGCCTGCAAACAAAAATTGTTTTCTACCTACATACTATTTTACAGCCCCCCATATAAAGCAGTTTCCTTACAGTACCAAATCAGACAAACAAACAAACAAATAAATATTCAAACATGTAAACAAACTTGAGTTTTAGTAGTATACTAGACTACCAGTTATCTAGTTAGATAACTGTGAGTTTCTGGGGGTCATCCATAAATGACATCACGTCTGCCAGCACTTTTCATCCCAAAATAACCAGACCCCTCATTCCAAAAGACGTTTTTTATATTTAAAAACTCTACTAAACTATACTTCACCTGCCCAGTGACCCGCCAAGTCTCAGACATGTTTGTATTTAAAATAAAAAAGATTCCGGCCGAGCATGGCTCTGACCACACTATCACTTCATATGCTGAGAACATAAAAACAGGTGAACTCTACTTCACCTGCCCTGTGCTCCGCGATGTCTTGATAGTCAACCTTTCATTCACATATTGGCCTTAAGAAAAAATAATTGAAAACATTGTTGTAAAAAAGTCAATGTTCTAAACTTTTATAATTAATGTGGTTAATCTACCAATGACTATATCAATAAATTAATTAACAGCTTTAAAATAGTTTGTAAATAACAGTTTGTTTAAGAAAGAACAATATTTACCACCCAAAATCCTATTTTACAGCGCTACACATAATGCAGATTCTCCCCAATAACAAATCAGAAAAACAAACAAACAAAAAATGAGTTATCAAACATCACTATTCAGTCAAAGTTAAGCAATTGTTCTAAAACTTTAAAATCAATGTGGTTAATCTATCTATGAATAAATCAATAAATTAATTAACGTCTTAAAATAAATTTAAGATTAACAGTCTGTATGAAAAAAAATGTTCTCTACCTACATACTATTTTACAGCTCTCCACATAGAGTTGAACCAGTTACAATAGCCTATCAGACAAAAAAAAAAATATTTAAACATGTAAACAAACTTGAGTTTTAGTAGTATATAGATAGATAGATAACAAAGGAATGGGTGATGTCGACCTAATGGATCAATCTGTATCGGGTGTCTATGAGAGGAAAAAAATGGTGATGGGTTATCTTTACTTATCTACTGGATATAACCTTTTCTAATGCTTGGCGGCTGCATGTTTTAGCAGGACTGATGAGGTGATATTCACGGATCAGTTAGCATTTAGACGGATAATAGCATAACCGTATTTACAACAAAAAAGTACAAAAAGTCGTCCAACATCATCAACAGTCCCTACAGTGGATACACAAAATGATGGTCATAATTCGGAGCAAATTGAAAACCAATTGCGTTGTGTTATTTGCCATAGCCGGATCCGCTGGCGATGTGAAAATGCACACACAAAAAACTTTTTGTTGAGCGACCTTGCTTTGGGCAATGTCACTCCTAATCTGCACAGTGCACCCGGCTGAGTATACCCCTTTACCTTTTTGGCTATGTGAATTTCTCTATATTTTTTCTAATAGATGTTCTAATTTGCCCAATATGTCATAATAAATAACAATTAAAAGTAATGTGTAAACGTAGTTTTCTTTTGGGCGTTAATGGATTTAATGTACGTACTCAGCAGCGAGGGAATATTTTACGAGGTCTATAACTCACCGTTTTCTTTAACAGATAAACACATATATTGAATTTTATATATATATATATATATATATATATATATATATATATATATATATATATATATATATATATATATATATATATATATATATATATATATATATATATAAAAGAAAAAAAATATATATATAAATATATATAAAAGAAAATCAACCTGAATTATCAGGCCAGCTTTCTTTCAATTATCAAAAGGTAATCAACCTTAACATTTTGCTATCAAGACAACGTGGATTCTTTAAACTCATGACTAAAAAAAATGTTAAATCAAAAGATAAGTAAATAAGAAATACTCAGAATGGAAGTAGAAAAAATTGTATGTATCCCAAATCGCCAACAACCATCATCAAAGCCAAACGAGACATGTTTTTTCAAGCTACATACCTTCAACTTCGAACACAGCACAGCTAGAGGTAGACGTGATTGAAAGCGTGGATGCTTTTAAATACCATTCTTATATTTGGGGTTATCGAAAAGTGTATCAGAGGTACTTTGCTAAAGGTCACGACATAAATAAAAAAAATTGAAAATTTTGAAAAATTACAAAACTGCCAATAAATAAATTTTTCTTTCAAGAATTCAATTGTTTAAAATTGAAACATAATTTGTCGTTTTATAATTACAGAAAAGAAGGAAAGAATAGTACAATACTTGAAAGTATTATAGAAGTATGAATACAAAATATGTGTGTTTTGTAAATCTCATCCTAGTAGTATATTTGTTTGCCGTGTGATACTTTGTCTGAGTTAATTTTCAATATATCGTGTCCGTGAGAGCTGAGAGCTTTTGTCCACGAAATCATTTGTCCTGAGATATTTTGTCATTACTTAATTTGTCTGTGAGTTATTTTGCATGTGAAGTTTTTGTGTGAGATAAATTGTCCTGAAATCATTTGTCATGACTCATTCTATCTGCTTTAATTAGATTAATAATTATATTTCTCTTGTAAAGCCCTAACTTTGATTTATGTATTGGTTACGCAATAAGACCATCTGTGACCATCGGTTTATTAAACAAGTTGAGTTCGATATGAAGTATTTTCTATTTATTTATATATCTGGTAAAATTGATTAAATCTGTGTTTGTGTTGTATGAATCCTGATTATCTTTTTATTGCACAGATTAAATCTTGCTTCATGTGGTTGTGCATTCTTCATTCCTTCTTGGAATTTTTATCCACTCTTGAGATGATGCATGTAAAATGTTTGCTGAATAAAGCATGTTAAACTATTTTAGTTTGTCTTTGTTTAATTCAATGGTTTTAAACTGATGGTAAATTCAATTGATATAAGATCAAATTGATTGAGATTTTATTTTATAAATATTCTATGACTTAAGAGGATTTAGAGGTGTGTATGATGTAAGCTTGGTCAAGAACAGTGACTATCATGATTAGGATCATGATCAGGGATAAGGATGGGGATGAGGATGGGAATAGGGGTATGGATTATGTATTAGAGATAGGGATAGGAGCATAGATAGCATAGTGATATAGTAAACGATAGGGATAAGATGAGGCTAAGGCTATGGGAAATTATGAGGATGTGAGTGCTATTTAGGGTTTGAAATTACAGCCATTTTTTTAAGATCAATATACAATTAATTTTAATAAACAAAGCACGACAACTTTAAAAAAATGTTCGAGGTTTATTATTTATTTACAACAACTATTTATTTAAGACGTAAATGCAGGATTTTAATATCTGATGGAAGAGGTTTTAGTGTGACAGGTTTTCTGATTAATTTCTAATCTGTGTAGCTCCTGGTCCTAACGGATGGTCACAGAGCTTAAACGTCTGTTCATTAGATGACCTGATTTTGTTTGTTTTGGCGTTTAAGAGATTTGGGACACTCTGGTGGAATGTGGTTTAGCACACTCACGTGTGTACTATGTCTTCTAGTGATTACTCAAAGTGGTGAATAATGAATTTTATTGGTTACAATTATAAAGTTATTTCTTTATTATTATATTTTTATATTATTACTTCCGGTTCCTCAAAGAACAAGCTATTTTCCTAAACGTTCTTTACTCTCAAAACATTCTCATGCCTCACATTCAAGCTTTATCCAGCTATCCTTTAAATTTCCCCCAGCACTTTGCATCTCTATGTTAGCTATTGTTGTCCTCTGCATTACTTTCCCATTATATTCCATTCCAAGACATGTGAGGCTTTGTTGCCATTTTCATTCCTCGAGTTGTATTTCTATTATTTTATGCTCACGTCTTACAAAATTTGAATGTTCTATTTTGACTGGTTACTGTAATTATAATTAATTTGTAAGACATTTATTTATTTATTTAGGTTTGGATTTTATTATATTTTGTTGTCTTTGCTGTGTTCCATGTCACGGATATATATATATATATATATATATATATATATATATATATATATATATATATATATATATATATATATATATATTTCCACCGTAAACTATTCATCCACATAGAAAGTGCAAATACGACAATAGGCTACCTACACATTTGACTTATTAGCTTGTCTTATTCCTAAAAGGGATAGGGATTGTAACAGAGATAGGGATGGTATGATTATGATTTAGGGGCAGGCTAACGACCACACCGTCCCATCATAATTGACATGTGGGCAGTAATTATATTTTGATGAAATATGGGCTAGTCAATATTCTAGACCCACATAATGTTTTTTAGAAATAAAGTTTAAATTAACCCTAAATTTGTTTCAAGCTAATATATTTACTCTGTCTGGACAATAAACATTAATTATTCAAAATAGCTTGGTTCTGAGTTCTTAATTGACATTAAGTATGTTTTATTACATAATCTTTTAAAAAAATATATTCTACTGCAAAAGTTGGAATTACTTTTCTAATTGACATTTTTGTAAGCCTTGTCGGCTCATGTTTGGTTCGGTTCAAATCAACAACATATTTGTCACTGTGAGAACAACCAATGCAACCCGGACGGGCAGTGTAAAGCTGGAACAAAGTGCGCACTCGGCTGGTTTGGTAAAACATGCCAGTACAGTAAGTCTAAAATTAATACGTGTTGTGCTTTTGCATATTTTAGCTGGGGGAAGGGGCTTTAAATTTTCAGTGTTGGGGAGCGGGGGTGTCAAAATAAATTTTAAGTGGAGACTGATACTAGTTACATTATTTATTATCTATACTAATTATACCTTTTTCTATTTCGCTCGAGTGTTGGCGGAGAATTTTGGAGGGGGGGGGGTAGCATTGCTTCACCCGGAAGGGATGGTGGAATTGAACTTAAGCTATTCTTTAAAACAGTGCTCTTCTTCTTCTTCTTCTTCTTTTTTAATTTTAGTGTCGGAAGGGATCCAACACAATTAAGGATACGTGTCCACTGGTTATGCGCCATTAGGCCATTGACTCCGATGTCCGCCTGCTTTTCTTTTTTGGATTTGCTGCCTTAGCCTTTGTCCAATCAAGAACAAACTACAAGGCAGCAGTTGTATGCTTATGATTTTGGAGTTGACTCTCCTAGAAGAGTTGCTGTCCCCAGCTAACGAGCCTCAACTGCCTAAGGGTTCGAACTCGAGACTATAATGTTCTAAGTTATAATGTTCATACGGAAATAGAGTTAAATACTAGTTCCGGCCACCAAAATTCGTCAAAAATGAAAAGAAACCTTTGCATACAATGTAGTATTTAAACAATTTATTTTTGTCCACATAGCTTAAAAGGTGCTCTAATTATTGGGTTTGAGAAACAAAAGTAGAGAAAATAGAGAAAATACAACTTCCGGTTGTCAAACCTCTATTTAGATTTTGTTTGAACAATAGGGTTGGTAGGTAGGTCACCAACCAGTTCTACGGCTCAATAAAACCTACATGAGTTAGTTGGTGAAATACTTACTAGCCCTATTGCAATGTACCTTTTTATGTTCCGTATATGATAAAGTCTGTATGTGTAAAATGGCAAAAAACTGTCGAAATATCTTTTTATTATTCAGTACGATTACATTACTTCCCTTATTACTATTGCAGTGGATCTACTAGGCATATTTAACAGCAATGACATATTAACGGACAATGATGATAATACGTGTGTCGACGATACATTACAATATAAGGAATTACGGTTGATAGGAGAGTATCCGACATTGCAACTACGGTTGGTGTATAAAAAGGGTAAATTTAAATTGTTCTTGCAATTGCTAAGCTACATTAACTTTTAGAATCCATTTTTTTTAAATCAGTGAATAAAACTATAAATCTATTCAGAAACCGAAAATTCATGTTAAAAACACGTAAACACGCATGAAAATAGCTAAAGGTTTATAGTTAAAAAATATTTTACACAACTAAAAATGTAAACAAGGAATCTTTAATTAGGGAAAGAAATGATTTTAACGTTTTTAAGTTATTTTTGTAGCCGACTATTCGTAGTGTATAACGGAAAGATTTCTTAGTCTATTCGAACACTAGCAAATCAGAACAAACCAATGTGTTTTGTGATTCTGTAATTTTCACTATTTATTCAATATAGGTCTATACTGTTACCTACACCTAAGTCTAATGTCATTCGATCTAACTTTAGAACTAACCATAATCCATAAATGTAATGCCTAACCGTAGTTTTAACACTAATGCCTTACCCTGATTTTATTCATATTCCTACTTCCTAAACCTTACCCTAATGCCTAACACTAACCCTAAAAATCTTTAACAGCCTTTAAAAAATTGTGGAGAGCGTAACTTCATATTTGGCAATAGGGTTGAAAGTATTTTAAACACGTATGTTTGATGCATGTTATCGTTTTCCCACATTCGTTTTATCTATATGTTTATTAACATTATTTATTTTAAATACATTTCTTTTCATAGCTTTATCATTATTTGGTATGTCTTATTGAACTAATAATTTAAGAAAAGCAATTACTTTTTTAATTAGCTTTATACAAAGCTAATTAGATTAGCTTTATAAGCACGCATATTAAACTGTTTGTCTGCAATTAGTCGTAAATGTGGCTTCAACATTTACCCATCTTTCACACGAAAGCTCATGTCATTTGTTTTTTTCTACGCTACGCAACAGCTTGAATAATTTACTGTAAAACAATCGTTGCCGTAGTAGATATAATGTAAAAAAAAAGTAACCGCTATCAAAATGCAAAGGGAAAAAAAAATCAGATTTTATGACCCTTAAACTACCTGTCCAGGGGATGGAGTGGTCTAGCTGTAGAGAGCTGGGCCGCTAACCTGTAAGTCTCGAGTTTCGAATCCGGGTTCAAGTCAGTAGACCGTACCTGAGTCCACCCAACTCTGATGGTTACACCTAACTCACGTTAGGGAAAGTAAAGGCGGCTGGGCATAGTGCTGACCACATTATCCCTACATATGACGAGGTCACAGAAACAAGTGAACTCTACTTCACTTGCCCTATAGACCGTCAGGTTGGAAAAGGGAACGTTACTTTTTTTTTAGATTACCTTTCCACCCCTCCCCCCCCCCTGCATTGCGGAGTATGAAGGTATGGTAGCTGCACCCCTGTAAAAGGTGGGTCAGATACGGTCATTTCAAATATAAATTTAATATACAACACAGTTTTAAAACAGGTGCGACTGAAATAAACGCGCCGGATACTGCTCTTGGATGTGGCTCCAAATTGTACGTCCAAGACGACAACGTGGTTGATTATTACTGCGAAATCCACAAAACAGCTAACGTTATCAGACTGAGTGGAGACACTTTACTCAATTTGTGCTCAGTTTATTTCAGTGCAGGTATGTGATTGTTTTCTTTAATACGTTCAATATTTGTCATTTTACATCAATTGCTTTTGGCCTAAAAATTAGGCCCGTATTGACATCAGCAATGTAGCTTTGTAAATCAAATGTAATGGAAATACTCATCTCTTTGCTAAATATTAATAGCATTAGGTTTTGAAATAAGCATTTTGGCTATTTTGGTTTTCATCACCCGCCCATGCTTTAGCCAGAAAAAAAAAGTTTTTTTTAAATTAATAATTAACATTACTTACAAAGCAAGGCTTAAACATCTCATTATTCAAAACCTATCCTATTGAACACTAAATCCTCTTCTTCTTCTTCGTTCTTAATTGTGAAATATGGTGGAGGATTCAGACAACAAGTCGAACTTCGTGGACAAACCGGACTGTGGTCTCCAGTTTGGCAGGTGCCCCATATAATTTTTCCCTGAGTGGGGTGGGCTGGGGCCAGTGTCTGACTATTGCCTGGCTATACAAAGAACACTCCTGGAGTACGTGCTCCGTATTTTCCGGGGCCTTGCCACAAGGGCACATTTCGCCACACCCAACCTTCAGTTTTCTGTGCATGTGTTGATTTAGTCTGTTGAACACTAAATAAATAAATAATTTAACCGTTTAACCATGGTAATTTATTGTTTTTCTGTACTAGGCCGTAATGTTGCATTGAAACAAAATGTAAAACAATCCAGCAGTCTACCAGGACAACCTGGAGCAGAAGCGGTTGTAGACGGCATTGCAGACACCTGCGGACGAGTACTTACACCAACCAATGACCCAAATCATTCGTTTGAAATTCAGTTTAACAAAACGATGACGATTACCGGGATTACACTCTATAACAGAGGAGGAGGTTGGTTGTTATATCTTTTGGTTATAAAATCATATATTTGAAATGTGGAATGAAAAGAGTTTCTAATTTCCAAGTTTTGGAGTTTATTATTGTGAAATAATATTTTTGCTCTCGAAATAAAAATGTACAGTTGTCAGTACGTGATAATCTAATTTTAACAAATGCAATGGCAACATACAGTTTTATTGTCTAGAATAAGAAACTAAAAATTCTTTGCGCGAAAACAAGCATAGCTATCCTTGAAATTTATTGGTCGTAACAGAGTTGCCTTACAAACTGTGCTTCATATATTACGAATATACTTTATCTTTACTTATCATAATATATTAATCATTTTAAATAATTTTACAAAAATTAATTACATATTCACTGAACTTTGAAAGATGTCAGTTGTCTTTCTTGCTTAATTTTAAAAAAGGAGAGTTTCGGCTAATAATCAATATTGTAATCAATTACTTTCGAATATATAAATGCTGTTAAAAATGTTTACGTTTACTATTTTCGTACTTATCATTCTGAAACAAAAATCGTGATAAAGATATCAAAAATTAAATAATTAATAAAACAAATATAATAACCTTTAAAATAAAAAAGTTTTAAATGCACTGAAAATAAGAAAATAAACTCATATTGATTAATAAAAGCTTTGGTCGCTGAAAAAAATATAAGAAATCTCGTGAGCGAGCCCTTGACTCACAGCAGCGGTCTTGCCCTGGCAGAGGCGTAGCGAGGGGCGGGCGGGGGGGGGAGACATATTTCTCCGGGCGCCTACCTTAGGGGGCTGAAAAAGTTTGAGGGGGGTGCAAATTGAAAGTTTGACGGGGTGCAAATCGAAAGTTTGAGGGGGGGGGGGGGTTGCAAATCGAAAGTTTGAGGTGTCCCCGGATGCCGGGAAGGGCCGCTACGCCTCTGTGCCCTGGTCCGCTCCAGATAAAAAAAAATGGCCCGGGTCATTCTAAATAACCAGGCACCCGAGACTCCACGTGTGACCACCCAAACTTAATATGTACGGTCAGTACTTGCACACGGCCAGGTTGAAGTATGAGCTTAAGGTCACATACCAACCTATCAACTCAGGTCAGGTTTAATCTCAGGTGAGCTTAAGGTCAAATACCAACCTATCAACTCAGGTCAGGTCCAACCTCAGGTGAGATTAAGGTCACATACCAACCTATCAACTCAGGTCAGGTTTAATCTCAGGTGAGCTTAAGGTCACATACCAACCTATCAACTCAGGCCACGTCCAACCTCAGGTGAGCTTAAGGTCACATACCAACCTATCAATTTAGGTCAGGTCCAACCCCAGGTGAGCTTAAGGTCACATACCAACCTATCAACTCAGGTCAGGTCCAACCTCAGGTGAGCTTAAGGTCACATACCAACCTATCAACTCAGGTCAGGTCCAACCTCAGGTGAGCTTAAGGTCACATACCAACCTATCAACTCAGGCCACGTCCAACCTCAGGTGAGCTTAGGGTCACATACCAACCTATCAACTCAGGTCAGGTCCAACCTCAGGTGAGCTTAAGGTCACATACCAACCTATCAACTCAGGTCAGGTTCAACATCAGGTGAGCTTAAGGTCACATACCAACCTATCAACTCAGGTCAGGTTCAACATCAGGTGAGCTTAAGGTCACATACCAACCTATCAACTCAGGTCAGGTTTAATCTCAGGTGAGCTTAAGGTCACATACCAACCTATCAACTCAGGTCAGGTCCAACTTCAGGTGAGCTTAAGGTCACATACCAACCTATCAACTCAGGTCAGGTTTAATCTCAGGTGAGCTTAAGGTCACATACCAACCTATCAACTCAGGTCAGGTTTAATCTCAGGTGAGCTTAAGGTCACATACCAGCTTATCAACTCAGGTCAGGTTTAATCTCAGGTGAGCTTAAGGTCACATACCAACCTATCAACTCAGGCCACGTCCAACCTCAGGTGAGCTTAGGGTCACATACCAACCTATCAACTCAGGTCAGGTCCAACCTCAGGTGAGCTTAAGGTCACATACCAACCTATCAACTCAGGTCAGGTTCAACATCAGATGAGCTTAAGGTCACATACCAACCTATCAACTCAGGTCAGGTTCAACATCAGGTGAGCTTAAGGTCACATACCAACCTATCAACTCAGGCCACGTCCAACCTCAGGTGAGCTTAAGGTCACATACCAGCCTATCAACTCAGGCCACGTCCAACCCCAGGTGAGCTTAGGGTCACATACCAACCTATCAACTCAGGTCAGGTCCAACCTCAGGTGAGCTTAAGGTCACACACCAACCTATCAACTCAGGTCAGGTCCAACCTCAGGTGAGCTTAAGGTCACATACCAACCTATCAACTCAGGCTACGTCCAACCTCAGGTGAGCTTAGGGTCACATACCAACCTATCAACTCAGGTCAGGTCCAACCTCAGGTGAGCTTAAGGTCACATACCAACCTATCAACTCAGGTCAGGTTCAACATCAGGTAAGCTTAAGGTCACATACCAACCTATCAACTCAGGTCAGGTTCAACATCAGGTGAGCTTAAGGTCACATACCAGCTTATCAACTCAGGTCAAGTTCAATCTCAGGTGAGCTTAAGGTCACATACCAGCCTATCAACTCAGGTCAGGTTTAATCTCAGGTGAGCTTAAGGTCACATACCAACCTATCAACTCAGGTCAGGTCCAACTTCAGGTGAGCTTAAGGTCACATACCAACCTATCAACTCAGGTCAGGTTTAATCTCAGGTGAGCCTAAGGTCACATACCAACCTATCAACTCAGGTCAGGTTTAATCTCAGGTGAGCTTAAGGTCACATACCAACCTATCAACTCAGGTCAGGTCCAACCTCAGCTTAAGGTCACATACCAACCTATCAACTCAGGTCAGGTTTAATCTCAGGTGAGCTTAAGGTCACATACCAACCTATCAACTCAGGCCACGTCCAACCTCAGGTGAGCTTAGGGTCACATACCAACCTATCAACTCAGGTCAGGTCCAACCTCAGGTGAGCTTAAGGTCACATACCAACCTATCAACTCAGGTCAGGTTCAACATCAGGTGAGCTTAAGGTCACATACCAACCTATCAACTCAGGTCAGGTTCAACATCAGGTGAGCTTAAGGTCACATACCAACCTATCAACTCAGGCCACGTCCAACCTCAGGTGAGCTTAAGGTCACATACCAGCCTATCAACTCAGGCCACGTCCAACCCCAGGTGAGCTTAGGGTCACATACCAACCTATCAACTCAGGTCAGGTCCAACCTCAGGTGAGCTTAAGGTCACATACCAACCTATCAACTCATGTCAGGTCCAACCTCAGGTGAGCTTAAGGTCACATACCAACCTATCAACTCATGTCAGGTTCAACATCAGGTGAGCTTAAGGTCACATACCAACCTATCAACTCAGGTCAGGTTCAACATCAGGTGAGCTTAAGGTCACATACCAGCTTATCAACTCAGGTCAAGTTCAACCTCAGGTGAGCTTAAGGTCACATACCAACCTATCAACTCAGGTCAGGTTTAATCTCAGGTGAGCTTAAGGTCACATACCAACCTATCAACTCAGGTCAGGTCCAACTTCAGGTGAGCTTAAGGTCACATACCAACCTATCAACTCAGGTCAGGTTTAATCGCAGGTGAGCTTAAGGTCACATACCAACCTATCAACTCAGGTCAGGTCCAACTTCAGGTGAGCTTAAGGTCACATACCAACCTATCAACTCAGGTCAGGTTTAATCTCAGGTGAGCTTAAGGTCACATACCAACCTATCAACTCAGGTCAGGTTTAATCTCAGGTGAGCTTAAGGTCACATACCAGCCTATCAACTCAGGTCAGGTTTAATCTCAGGTGAGCTTAAGGTCACATACCAACCTATCAACTCAGGCCACGTCCAACCTCAGGTGAGCTTAGGGTCACATACCAACCTATCAACTCAGGTCAGGTCCAACCTCAGGTGAGCTTAAGGTCACATACCAACCTATCAACTCAGGTCAGGTTCAACATCAGATGAGCTTAAGGTCACATACCAACCTATCAACTCAGGTCAGGTTCAACATCAGGTGAGCTTAAGGTCACATACCAACCTATCAACTCAGGCCACGTCCAACCTCAGGTGAGCTTAAGGTCACATACCAGCCTATCAACTCAGGCCACGTCCAACCCCAGGTGAGCTTAGGGTCACATACCAATCTATCAACTCAGGTCAGGTCCAACCTCAGGTGAGCTTAAGGTCACATACCAACCTATCAACTCAGGTCAGGTTTAATCTCAGGTGAGCTTAAGGTCACATACCAGCCTATCAACTCAGGTCAGGTTTAATCTCAGGTGAGCTTAAGGTCACATACCAACCTATCAACTCATGTCAGGTCCAACCTCAGGTGAGCTTAAGGTCACATACCAACCTATCAACTCATGTCAGGTTCAACATCAGGTGAGCTTAAGGTCACATACCAACCTATCAACTCAGGTCAGGTTCAACATCAGGTGAGCTTAAGGTCACATAACAGCTTATCAACTCAGGTCAAGTTCAACCTCAGGTGAGCTTAAGGTCACATACCAACCTATCAACTCAGGTCAGGTTTAATCTCAGGTGAGCTTAAGGTCACATACCAACCTATCAACTCAGGTCAGGTCCAACTTCAGGTGAGCTTAAGGTCACATACCAACCTATCAACTCAGGTCAGGTTTAATCTCAGGTGAGCTTAAGGTCACATACCAACCTATCAACTCAGGTCAGGTTTAATCTCAGGTGAGCTTAAGGTCACATACCAGCCTATCAACTCAGGTCAGGTTTAATCTCAGGTGAGCTTAAGGTCACATACCAACCTATCAACTCAGGCCACGTCCAACCTCAGGTGAGCTTAGGGTCACATACCAACCTATCAACTCAGGTCAGGTCCAACCTCAGGTGAGCTTAAGGTCACATACCAACCTATCAACTCAGGTCAGGTTCAACATCAGATGAGCTTAAGGTCACATACCAACCTATCAACTCAGGTCAGG